GTGCCAAGGCAGTGTTGAGAAGTGGTTGAAGAGGCAGGAAGTGGTCCGATTATGTGGTCCTTGAAGGCTGAGATGAGCTGGGAGGACAAGGAGGTAGCTCTCTGTTCCTGTTTCCCTGCCACTTAGTGTACCTTGGTACTCAACAACTACTTCTTGACTGACCATGGAATGACCTTCCGGAGGCACTGAGGGCCATGGAAGGTGCTGCATCAGGGAAGGGTCAGATTCCACAGCCATGATGGAGATTGGAATAGCCACAGAGAAGGCTGGAGCCATCGCCCAAATGATGAGGCCTAAGCCAGGCCAGAGGCCACAGGGTGGTGATGAGGTCCAGGCTGGGTGCGGACAAGGACTAGAGCAAGAGCCCGGGCGTGTAGATTTGCCACCATGGGAGGTGGGCAACAGAGCGCTTGGTCTTTCTGAGGAGGAGAAACAGCTTGCAGTGGGCGGCCGCCATGGCTCCATTATACTCACCGCTGGGCCCTGGTGGCCTGGGTTTCCTGGCCGCCCCGCCAGTCCTGCACTGCCCTGGGAGAGAGACAGCCAGAGGCACAAATGAGAGCTCCCCCCAGAGGGCCCATGGCTTCCACAGAATGCAGGCAGGGAAACTGAGGCCCGGGGGCAAGAAGGGATGTGTCGATGACACACCTGAGGGTCCCAGGCTCGTAGGCCTCCAAGATCCCAGTGATGGGACTCAGGCCTGAGCTGGGAGCCTAAGCTGGGAGGGGCCCTGATCCTTGCCCCAATCCCACCAGCAGTCCCCACTCCTACCTTCATGCCAGGTGTGCCTGGGGTCCCGTCCTTGCCGTCAATGCCTGGGGGACCCTGCTCAGGGGAGAGTTGAAGGTAGACTCACAATGGGGAGATGCCTGGGGTCAGGCCTCCCACCCATGTCGCTCTGTGACAGCTGCAGTGTGCAGGGAGGAAGTGGTCTGGTCATCGCGTGAAGCCCCATCAGTCAACTGGGGGAAGGGAATGGTCGTGGGAATGGGACTTGGGGGATGGACCACACTCCCTCCCTGTATGGGTGACAAGTGTCCTAGATTGCTGCAAGCTTCCCATGATCTCTCCTACAGCATTTATAGCTGAAAACACGAAGGCACAGAAAGGGGGCGTTTCCCGAGGTGGCAGAGCCAGTGGGACAGTGACAGAGTTCGGTCTAGAGTCCCTGGGGGCTTGGGCAGAGCTGACTGGAACCTGCCCTCTGTCTGGGTGACCACTTACAGCTGCTCCCTTTGGGCCTGTTATTCCCTGGGGTCCTCGAACACCTTGACTTCCCTGCAAAGTAGACAGAGATGAGGTCACCTTTAGGGTGCTGAAGTCCTACCTGGTGGTTCCCAGAGGGGAACAGCTGAGAACAGTGGCCTCTGCATCCCAGGGTCCCTGAGGCACAGGCCACGCTGAGCAGGGGCTGGAGGAGAAGGGCCTGGGAGTGCCCTTTCGGCTCTGGACCCAGCAGGAGGGAGTGGAGGGCAATCCAAGCAGAAGGGGCTGGGCTGGGAGTGGGAAGGAGCCAGCACTTGCTGAGGCCCAGCCGGACTCTGGGCTCCACTGTGCAACACCGCAACCAAATGCGACGTGTGGGCTTTGTTTGGGTCTTAATTTGAACAAGAATCCTGAAGAGACATTTTTGATGTAATTGGGAAAAATTGAACACAGGCTGGTTATTTGATGATGTTTAGGAATACTTGATAATTTTGTTGGCATGGTAATGATACCGTGATTATGTGAGAAAAAGTGCTTATTTTTAAGAGATATACACAGAAGTACTAGTATTTAGGGGTGAAATGACATGATGGTAAGGACTTGCTTGAAAATATCAGAGTGAAGCAATAACAAAGTGAAGGAAGGAAGGATGACGCGAATTTGGCAAAATGTTAATTTGGGGAGATAGGTTATATGGGGGTTCACTATATCATTGTCTACTTTTGTGTATCTTTCAAAACTTGCATAATTAAAAACTAAAAAAGAACAGTTAGTTTTACTCTCTTCGATTTTTCTGTAAACTCAAAACTGCTAAAAGAAATAAAGTCTATTAATTAAAAATAAATAAATAAAGAGTTAAGTGAACTGGGATCTGACCAAATCCCATTAGCCCCATGGCTGATTTGCTGGAATTTAATTGTCTGGCCCCTGTGACAGTGGGACTGAATCTCCTGCCTTCTCCCAAAATCTGAATTTGATCAGCAACGGGCTGGGCTTCAAGGAGTGGGGGCTGGCAGAGCTGACTGGGCTCTGGGCACGAACGCTCCTTCCCATACCCGACACTCCCATGCAGACGCCAAGAGTCACACACACACACACACACACACACACACACACACACACACACACCAGCCTTAGGTGGAGCTGAGCCCTGCCCAGTGCTCCCAGGAGCCCTAACTGGACCAGAGGAGTGGAGGACTCACCACGTCGCCTTTCTCCCCAGCTCGGCCTGGTGGCCCTCGCGGACCTTCCTCACCCTGGCAAGAAGGACAGACGGGAATCTGAGTTAACGAGCTCAGCCGGAGCAGCACCCGCTGCGTCCCCAGGAACTCCAGCCTGGAGATGTGCGGGGAGGTGAGAGGAGCAGACTTACCGGAGACCCAGCGGTGCCAACAGAGCCCACCATGCCTTTGTACCCACGAGGACCCTGGGCAGAGGAAGGAGGTGCGGGTCAGTCCTAGACCCCAGAGGCCAGAGGGCTGTCGGGGCAGCTCTTGCAGGACACCCGCAGACTCACTCACCGTCTCTCCTTTGGGCCCCGCCAGGCCTGGGTAGCCCCTGGCACCCTGGGGACCCTGTCAGGAGGGAAGAATGACAGTGATGGCAGCTGCAAGGCCCGCTCCATGATTCCTTCTCTGACCCCCAGCCCAGACTTCACAAGGCTCCTCTGTGTCCCTATCTCACAGGAGGGACTGAGGCTCAGAGCCAGGGACACATGCACCAGAATCACTCAAAGGGACAGTGGCACAGCCTGGGCCTCAGCCCAGCCCGCTGACCGCCTTGGTTCTGTCCCCCAATTTCCGACAGTCAGCGTCAGCCTCCCTCTCCCATGGGCACAGGCATCTCTTCTACAGGTTAGAGGCCGGAGCAGGGGCATGACCCCACTAAGGTCTCCTAGGACAAGGGGAGGAGCCCCAGGGGAAGTGTTCCTTACCGGTGGTCCAGGGATGCCTTGCTCTCCGGAAGCACCCACATCTCCTTTGGGACCCTAAGGGGCAGGATTGAGGATTGACAGGTGGGCAGGTGGAGAGACACGTATTCAGGCAACCAAAGATAGCATCCCTTCCATCCCCCATGACAGGTGGGGAAACGGAGACCCAGCAAGAAGGGACTTGCCCAGGGACACACTGACCCAGAACATGGGCCTCCTGCTTCCCAGCTCAAGACTCTGTCCCCAGAGACCACAGAGGAAGGAAAAGGGGGGCAGGGAGGAGGAAGAAGTGGGGTCCTCTCCACAAGTCTCTCCCATGGCCCTCTGCCCTCACTTACCGGCTTCCCAAGGCGGCCGGGATCTCCCAGAACCCCGCGTTTCCCAGGATGCCCCTAAAGGAAAAGAGGCAGCTCAGTGTGAGGTCCCCACCTGACCACCGGCTCTGCCCTCCCCAGACCAGGGCCAGGAGCTCACCTTCACTCCCTGCAGCCCCTGGGGGCCTTTCACACCCGCTGGACAGTTGGTTGGACACTGGAAAGAAAATCCCGCAGGGCTCTGTGGTCACAGGCCTGCCTCAGGCCAGCTGGGCAGTGCTTCCCCATCTTGCCAACTCCCAAACCCTCCTCCCACCCCATCTGGCTGAGCCACTCTGCGAAGCCCCTCCCCAAATCCCAATGTCCTGTCTCCAGACCCATCCTATCTCCACCACTGCCCATCTCCAGGTGCCCAGCCCCAAAACGCATTAGCCTTGCCCCACGACCACCTCTCACCAGGAAATCCGCGCTGCCTTCCAGGCCCTGGATGGTTCCGGGGCGGCCCTGAGAGGAGATGTGTGACCATGAAATCCGACCCCGAACCTACTCCATCCCAGGCATGCTTCAAGTACCCTTCTCCTTCCTCAGCTACACACTGCCATGTGGGAGGTCTGAGGACACTTACCGGTTTCCCAGGGGGCCCCGGGGGCCCTGATGGTCCCTCTGGTCCAGAATCCCCCTGGAAGCAAGAGAGGCCCAAATCATACCCCTGTGCAGCCTCCCCTCCAGGCACCTCCTGCAATCTGGGCTCTTGAGGAGATCAAGGCCTGACTGGTAAGGGATGGCCCCAGCCCTTGGTCTCCCTGAAAGACCTACCACAGGGTGGGCTCAGCAGGAGGGGTTTCTGCCCCAGACCTGGAGGAGCTCCCTGGTGGCCAGAAGCAGGCCCAGGAACTCCTGGAGAGACACCTAGCTTGCAGGCTTGGAGGCAGAGCGCAGGAGGCAGAGTCAGTAGAGGGGTGGCTGGGGCTCACCTTGGGGCCGGTGATTCCAATCTCACCAGGGAGGCCAACAGGTCCAGGTGGTCCCTAGGAACAGAGACATCACTGACCAGGATGCCTCAGAGGGTTAGCCCATCCCAGGTGCCAGAGACTGACAAGTGAGGGCTTTAAGGACCAGAGAATCCCACAGCCAGTGGATAGGCCCGGAGTGGGCTGGCTCAGAGTTCTCTGGCAAGTCTGTCCATTCCTGACATGAGAGCATGCTGGCTCCTGCCCATGATGGCCAGTCCCCTAGAAGCCCTTCTGTACCATCATTCCCTAGGAGTCTCAGGGGCCCTGCCCCACCCCTGAGGACTTACAGGAGGTCCAGCGAATCCAGGGCCCTAGAAGAGAAGAAAAGGAGATTGGATTGATGGTCCTTCTTCAAATCTACCCCCACCCCCCACCCCCACCCCAATCCACACAGTGTCATCGAAGCCTCTGCAGGTTTTACTCACCGGCAGGCCAGGCGGACCTGGGAGCCCGGGCTGGCCCTGCAAGAGCAATGGGAGAGGCTCAGAAGCTGGGGTCTCCTGGGTCCCTGCCCCTCTCTACCACAGCCCTTCCCAAACTCTGGCTCTCCATTGCCCATGCTGAGTCCCCAGCAGGCCCTTACCTTGACTCCAGGGATGCCAACGGGGCCAGGTTCCCCCTTGGCTCCAGTGAGACCCTGGGAAGAAAGAAGGTAGATCAGTGAGGGGCAGGGCAGGTACAGAGGTCTCCCTTGGGTGGGCCCAGACTGCATTTCACCCAACTCCTTGAAGGCCTAGGAGCCTCAACACCTCACTTTTCTTTCCTCAGTTCCCACAGTAACCCTAGGAGGTGGGCAGGCAGAAGGGTTATCTTTCTTTTGAAAGATGAGAAACCAAATCTCAAAGATCCGTTAGCCTGGGCCTCCTGCCTCCCAATTTAGGATCTAGAAGACTTAGATGAAGGTCTGGAATGGTCATTGTCTTTTTTTTTTTTTTAATATATTTTTATTGATTTCAGAGGGGAAAGGAAGGGAGAGATGAGAGAGAATTATTGATTGGCTGCCTCCTGAATGCCTCACACTGGGGATCAAGTCCGCAACATAGGCATGTGCCCTGACTGGGAATGGAACCATGATCTCCTGGTTCATAGGTTGACACTCAACCACTGAGCCATGCCGGCCGGGCTGGAATGTCATGTTCTTGATGTCTGTCCTTGGCAACTTTTCCTGAGCCTTAATTTTTCATCTGCAAAATGGATTAATAATCCTGCTTACCTCTGTGGGTGGATGTGTGAGAATTGATGTGGATGGCAATGTGCTTTGTAACCTTTGCAAGATGTTGATGAGCTGGAGGAGCCCCGGTGGCTGGGCACAGCCCTGATGGGGGCCTCTTGAGCCAGCAGGCCAAGCAACTCACGGGGGCCTCTTCCTCCTCCCATCGTTCAGTGACTGACCCAAGTGTATCCCCAACCAGATGACTATCCCAGTGGCCCTGGCTGTGTCCCGGAGCCAGTGACCTTGGGGCCCCTGGGAACTCTGTGGGATCAGCCACATAATGCTCCTCTCCTGAGCTGCACCGGGGCTTCGAGGGGGTCAGGGGTGGGGAAGGGAAGAGAGGAGGAGAGGACGGGTGTGCAGGACAGGTCTGCGCGGAGTATTCAGCCTGACACTTGGAAGCCAGAAAGATGACACTAAATCCTGGCTGCTGCAGACAACTGAACCCCTCTCCATCTGCCCATGAGTCAGTGCTCCTGGGCTGGGGGTGCTGTTCCAGTGAGGTCACACGTCACATGGAGAGGAGGGGGCTCATAGCTGTAGAGTCTCATCCTGCTGCTCCACTCTGAACAGAACATCAGGGAAGATGCCAGAACCAGGCTACTCACGTCAATCCCGGGCTTCCCATCCGGCCCGTCCGGCCCCGCTTTGCCAGGCTCTCCCTTAGGTCCCTTGAAAACAGAGGCGAAGCAAATACTAGCAAGAGGAGGGCAAGAACTAGAAGAGTCAAAGATCAAAGGAGAAAAGGCACTCACCGGAGGGCCAGCTTTCCCAGGGGGCCCCTTGTCACCCTGCAAGAGACAAGTTGGTGAGACAGCAGGCTCTGGCTCATGCTACCCAGTGGGCACACACAGACCCTGGCTGATGGGTCCCATGTGCCTTTCTCCTCACCCTCTTGTCCTCTGTCCTGGATCCCCTCAGCCTTGCACTTTTTAGGAAAATAGCTCCATTTCTCTCTCTCTCTCTCTCTCTCTCTCTCTCTCTCTCTCTCTTTCTCTCAAAAAAAAAAAAAAAATCATAGGTTGATTGAGACCATCCCCAGACAGGCAGGAGAAGGTGATATCAACATGGCTGTAGACACACCAATGCTGGCCAGGTGCTGGTTATGAGACTTGCAAATGGAGGCGTGGACTCCAAATTACCTTGGAGAGCTGGTTGGTGCCTCTTGGATTTGGGCAAGTGTGGGAAGAAACTTTCAGAAAAACGCGAAGGGGAGGTGAGTGAAGTAAAGAGACTGGGGTGGGGTACAGGGGCCTCTGAAGGGGCAGATTCAAACTTCCCAAGGCAGGAAGGAACTCCTTTCCCTGGTGACAAAGGACCCTTGGTGGAGGACAGGCAGGGCCTGGAGTCAGACTCAGCCCCAGAGCGGCCTCCAGGCATCTCTGCCGGCAGCAGCCAGAGAACTGGCAGGGACCCAGCTCCCTGTGTTTGGGGGTGGGGGCACCAGGCTGAATAGACGCCTGTCCAGATGGGTAAACACGGAGCTAACCTCCTGCCGGAGCCTGCTGAATGAGGGCTTTAACCCTCACCATGCTGGGGAGATCAGGGAGCAAGCCCAGCTGGTTCTAAATCGGGGAAGAAATGCAAAAGGGAGAGACAAGAGTCTGGCCCCAGCTCGTCAGCGGTCTGGCCAAGGCTTCTAAACTATCCTGAAGAAGCACGCCAACGTGCCAGTGGGCAGGGCCCAGGGGTTACGGCGTCTCCCACCTTCAAAAGGAGGGAAAGGCGGGAAGGGGATAAGGAATCGCTGTGAGCTGTGGTGGGTGGACAGCACTGCAGCTCCTGGTCTGTGGGCAGCTATAACGGGCTCTGCATCTCCCTGCTGGGTTGAGGTTTTTGCAGAACAAACAGGTTCCTTGTGGGGCGGGCGGTGCCGCCTACTGGCAACAGAGGGCACTGCATCTCCAGGAGCCCCTCCACCCCCTCCCGGCTCCCCGCGCTCACAAAGTTCCCCTTTGTCCGCAGCTTCCCTCCCTCCGCAGCCTCCCTCCCTCCGCTTCGGTCCCAGGTTTAGAGACTCACGTCGATGCCGTCGGATCCTGGCATCCCCGGCGGCCCCGGGGGGCCCGGGGGGCCTCGCTCTCCTGGCGGACCTCTCTGAAAACACACACAGGGTGTGCGAGCTCAGACAGCGCAGGAAGCAGGGCACCCCAGGGCTGCACCTCCCCCAGGAAAGAATTCCGCGGGGAGCAGCCAGCTCCCTGCGCTGAGAGCCTGGGGTGCGCCAGGCACCGTGTACCGTTACATGCATATCCTAGAGGATGCTCAGGCTGGGGGCGGATACTAGTGTGCAAACAGACTCAGAGGTTAAGAAGGACCACAGGGAGTTAGAGGTGGCGCCAGGATTCCGCTGTGGCACGTCGTCCTTGCGAGGTCTGGTGAGGACAGACGGCAATGCTGGTGGCTCAGATAAGGCACAGATAGTACAATGAAGGGTTGCGGTATTTATTATTATTATTTTTAGATGACCAACAGGTATGGATGCTGAGTAGGTGCCCTCTCCCCTTCCCCTGGCGAGGGTAAAACCCGAGTGGAAAGTAGGAGAGGCTGGGACGGGGGGTGGGGTGGGGGTCTGTTCTCTCCTCCCACTCTAGCTCCCCTCCACCAACACCGCCCCTCCATCCTCCTGGGGTGGCCGTCTGGTGGGGCCAGCCCCGACCCAGGCCGGGCTCCG